GGGCTTGGGGACACCCGCCAGGCCCTTGCCCCCTGCGCGCACATTCCCGGATCTCAGCCGTCCAGGAGCTGAGCTGCTGCTCGTCCCCTGCCTCAAATACAACGTCAGTGGCATTGGTGACCTAAGGGACATCGAAAGGGGACATGAGGGCTTTAGCAAAAGAGATGTGCATCCCCCTCCCACCCACTCATGCTCATGCACCGACCCTGACCCCAGCCGGGGCAGAGCATCCCCCATCCCGAACACCACCCCCTCCCCGGCTGGGAAGAGGAACCAAAATTTGGCACGGGTGCTTTCGGCAGCCACGTGCACCCCGGAGGATGGGAAAAAGCCTCAGGGGCTACTGCTGAGCCCCTCAACAACTCGACCCTACCTTGAGGACGAAGGTGTGGAGGTTATCCGGCATCTCGAGGCGCGTGCACCTCCGCACCTCCTGGACAGCTGAGCAGGTGGTGTGCAGCTTCGGCTTGGAGCTCTGCGGAGGGGAGCGAGGGTGGCTGAGCTGAGCCCGGGCATCCCTGCACCCCCAAACGCTGCCTCGCCTGCTGCTGGGGACGAGCCTGCCAGGAGCCAGCTACAGCTTGGCAGCCGGCAAGGAAATACCCTGCTCTGCAGGGAAATACCCCACCAGCAAGGAAATACCCCGTGTGGCAAGGAAATACCCCATGTGGCAAGGAAATACCCCATGTGGCAAGGAAATACCCTGGATGGCACTGCCTGGCTGCTGTTGGGGCACCCTGGGGGGGAGCTGGGCAAGCACTCGGAGTGGGGACTCATGTCAGTGGTCCAGCAGCGGAGGGATGGGTGGAGGAGAGGAGGGAGAAGGGGGTTCCCCACGTGGCAGCGGGTGTACCGATGGGGAAATCGGGGTGCAGGCAAGGAGCACCCTGGTTCTGGGTGCAGGGGATGGGTGGCGTGCCTAGAGCTCCCTCGCGGCTGGCTTGGTGCCAACACAGGCACGTGACAAAATGCTGAGCAAACACATCCAGAAATGCTAATAACACCCCTCCCGGCAGCTTTCGGTTCCTCCGCTGCCCGGCACACCCCACGTGTGGTGATCGCTGGCAGCACACGGCACCCGCCTACCACCGGGACCGGGGTGTAACCAGGGTGCCAGGGACTCTCCCGGGTGCAAAATACGCCAGTAGGACCCCTGGAT